AGGTAAAGTTTCACTTTCACTGGCTGTTGAACTTGCATTACCCATACCGCAGTTTGATCTCCGATTTTATATCCATTAATATGGAGTGGAAAAAAATTGAGTCACACAGCTTTAAACTCTTGATGAATGTGACCGTCAAACCTGTTCAAACTTTGATCAGCTTCGACGCTTTTTGGCGACAGATATTTTACGCATGCACAGCTGTTTCCCTTTTCGTTCGAAGGGAGCCAATCCTGCTGCTGCGAAGTTTTTCTCTTAACAATACATATTCTTTGGCTATGGTTAAATCAAGGTTATGAAGCACGAATGCAATTTTTGAGCCACAAATCGCTGCTACACAAAGACAAAATAACAAGTCAAAAAATTGCACAAACTTGATGTCCATGTACCACCAAAAATCGCCAATTATCACCAAGGGGCACCCGTAAATATATTTTTACCACAGCATTTCCACACATATTAAGTTGTTTATCAAACCAATTGATGGATATCATCTCTTGTGCCCAAGAATACAAAAACCTTCTAGCGATGACTAACAATATTCTGGAACCACTGAACCAACACCCAACACATAGGCCTTTCTTTTCACAATGTTTAACAGTGCACCTCCAAATGCTTTCAACTTTAATACATTTTTGCATACTCATTTCTCAGATAAAAGACCTTTTTCTTGGAAAAACATGGCATCCACCTCTTTATTTGGTAAATTAAAGATTGTTAATCGAAGATTCACAAAAAAGGAAGGAATGTTTTTAAAAAACGAACGTGCACAGCTAATATAAGAACATGTTTAGCATGGTATCTCAGCTGATTAGCAATTTAATCTTGACAATCTCTATTATAAAGCAAAAAAAAATTTTTTTAACCACTTGTGCTACGACTAAACTTCACAGTTGCGGTGCCGTACGCTACAATATAACAAGCGGTAAAGTGTCTGATTTACACCGCTCCGCGTCTGTGAGTGCAATCCAAAGCTGTAACTCGAGAAATAAACAATCTTATCATTAGACGACATGTGCACCACATTATTTTCATTTTTGTGATAAATGCCTATCGACGTGGTGTTCATGTTGCTCGTGGTTTGAGACAAAAGAATCTTAATTTGCGTGGCCCGTCTTTTTAGCGCAAGTAGTTAAACAAATTCACAAGTCACAAGAAGATTAGAGATTTTACAAACAATACAAGACACCAAGATCTCCATTCAGAGTAAAAACTTGTAACAATGCTAAAAAATAAAACTTCAATTCATTTAAGCATAGTTTTGAACTTTAATTAAAATACCAGATTTCACAATAAGAAATTTAATGTAAACTATTAAGTGTTCTTGCAACAGATCACATAAATTAGCCAGAAGTTAATTTTTGTCAATTCAATACTTTTAAATATTACTTAAACAACAGCAGACAGTTCCATATTTAAACACATGAAAATATTAGGATAATTTTAATACCAAATGTTAAAAAATGCAAGTTAATATATACTTGTAAAAATAGCACAACCAGTAAATTAAAATCAGATGATCTCTTATTTGATTGTCAAATATTTAACATGTTTTGTACAAGATGGTTAATATGATGTTCAGCCAACATAGCAAATACCAAAAGTAACCAGAATATTAAATTTCATTATACTGGATCTATAACATTTATGATTTATTTTTAATATTAGCAAACCACTGCTGGTGTAAGGAATACATTTCAAATTACTCTTGAAAAATAATAAAATGTATAAAGTTCTAGTTTTGTTAACAATGCTACTGAAAAAAATTAGATTACTGTTGAAGGTTACTTCTATCGTGAAATATATTATGAAAAATACTGCTTTATTTTCGTATATCACGTTTAACCGGTTAGTTTTACATCTACATGCTTATTATCTGTGAATTTTTACTACCATATGCTTAATATTTTGTTTTGTCTGCTAATTTGAATTTACATGCACTAAAAATCACGTTTAAGGATCGGCTCATCCCTTCGCGAGTAAAAATTGCAATGGTGCCGACGGGTTCTCTGCGGATGAAAACCCTTTTGCATTTAAATGATCAAGACTTAATTTTACAAAATTGAAGCAAGCAAAGCATTAAATTTGGATACATTTTACTATCCTTTCATAACAAAATAATAATACAGTCAAAAGTCGTTAATTCGGACACCCATAATCTGGAATGATCTATAATCCGGACCTCAAAGCTACAAACTTTCTGCGCATGAGTCGCGTTGACGCATGCGCGTAAGACCTATACGGCTGCGAATATGCATGTGCGCATGCGCATAATACGTTTACGCATGCGCGTTTAGTGTATAACGGACGGTATAAGCTAAACTAAAATTATCCAATTCAGTTAATGTTGCAGATTGCATTGTTCCTTAATCTTCGAATTGGATCCGGCTTATTTTTTTTTTTTGCAGACTGTTACACCAATTTTATAAAAGTAAGCTTGAACTTTTCGATTATGTCAAATAGAATTTCCAATATGTACTATTTACTAATATGTAAAGGATCTACAAAGCGGAAGTATGTTCTCGAAGTCCATCAAACAAAAAGTGGAATTGCTGCAAAAAAGGGTAAAGGCATATCCTTTTATTCTCTAACCATTCCTGAAATCTGTTTATCAATTTCAACGTTGCTCTGCGGCAAGGGGGGGGGACGTCGCGGCAGCACGCAATGAATTGGAAGTTGATCTGTCAGCACTATCCTTATCTTCAGTTCAGATGTTTTTATTTTAATTTGGCTTATAATTTCTTACTAAATGTAGCATTTCATCTCATGATGTACTCCATCTTTGATATAATTTAAATCAAATTCCACTTCATTATAATTCGCTTACGATAGTGAAGAAAGTGACAGAGAGGTTTATTGAAAACGGAAAAATTTCGATTGACAAATTAGTTCGGTATTCTTCGACACAGCAATTATAGGACCTGAACAGCGGAACTTTGTAACTGAAGAAGAAATTATGTCTGTTATAGAATTAAAGAGAAAGTATTTATCACAAAACGAAGCAACTTAAACAACTTACATTGACAGAAATGTTTAATAAAGTAAACAAATAAATATTAAGCTTTTTTTTGTAAATTTTGATACCCTTTAGATAATAAATGTTCTTTATTTCATAAATTACGGTTTCATATTTTTAATTTTATAATTTCTGCATGCCATCTTACCAGATTTAAACTGATGATCTATAATCCGGAATCGCCGAAGTCCCGACGAGTCCGGATTAACGACTTTTGACTGTAATACTTCAGCAATTTAAATAACTCATGAATTTACAAATATACTGTCAGTACTTGTATGTTAACATTAATCATGAAATTCCTTATTTCCTAATTAAGAAATAAATAACAATTACAACAAGAATAAAAATCTAGTTTGCTCAGCATAATCTAAATTTTAAAAGTAAAGCCCACTATTTTTTACAGGTTTTACTCAAAAATAAAATTTTAAACTTGATGAAATAAAATTCTGGTTTAATTGTAGTACATGGTATACATTGAATTTGGCGACATTACTATGAGCAACAAATGCGACATTCATGATGTGCAGTAAATTTTTATCGATAAAAGTTCATATGAAGGAATAGAAGGAAATTATACAACAATGACAAAATATTCAAGAGATTGAAGAAATAGGTTGCATAATCTACTGCAAAATGAAGAGGATATGCAGGGCTGAGATTTTGTACATTTTTCATTAAATAATGCTTTCCCAAGAAATTCTTGTTGGATTTTGAATGGTCATAAAAGACATTGCATAAATGTTTGGAGTTCATTTTCAAATTAAAATTTCCTTTTATTGATGACACCTAGAATAGACTTCTAGAGACTTTCTGGAAAACAAATACTGCTCACAGTTGATTCCTTCTTGCTCTAAAAGTAGTTTAAAATAAATAAGATAATGTCGCCAAATACCGTTATCTGCTGAATACTAGGATTAAACCAAAATTCTTATAACGGCATAATAAAAAGGAACAAAAATATTTCGGAACATTGTGCAGAATTCTCCCTCCCCAATTAATGTAATAATCACATTAAATTTTCCATTTTTCATATGAAAATTCTATTTTATAATGTCAGATACTTCTCATGCTTAATATTATACGACAGTTTACATGTACATATTACCCACAGAAACGTTTTAAGCCATCAAAATTCAACCAAAGGTTAATTCAATTTTAAAACATAAGGACCACAGAACGTTTTAAGCATCAAAATTCAACCAAAGGGTTTGAATTCAATTAGATTCTTAAATGAATTCGTCCTGCCCTCAAGTTTATAAAAATACACATCCGATTGCCAAATTTTTATTCCAAATCTTAAAAAAAAAATGAACATAAACATAACAATGCCAATATATATTTACGGTATCTAGAAAAAAACACTTCAATGCAACGAAGGGAGACTGCCCACAACTCTAAAAGGATCAGCGGATTCTACCACAATCTTTGGGGAGTAAATGGCTGCAACCATTTAGATGCGTGATCAATTATATATACAAAAATAAAATAAGTTAGGCCTTGGGATAGAGTTAAAACAAACTGAATTGTCACCGGTGCCCAATGGAGAGTGACATGTGGTTTAAGAATTGCCATACTCGTATCCATGAACACATGACCATTTTCACTTTAAAAAAAACCAAGACAACAAAAAAAATGGTCATCCGCACCCCTTGGGGCTTATCAATGACACGGTCGACTAGTTTCACTTGTAAAGGCAAAGAAAAAATTTGACAAAAATAGAAACTTCGACTCAGGAAAAGTGCCAAACAAACAAAAAAAGTGGGCGGGGGGGCGGGGCAGGAAAAAACTACTACTTGGAAAGGAAATCGGGATAGCAGACACACTAAGTATTACCGTTTTAGGGGAAAAAGTACTCTGAAGGAAATCGAATGAGGATTGAATCTGAAATGTAAGTACATAAAATATAGACTTGTAAAAAATGTATACTAGAATAACAAAATTAATAGGGAGGAAAAACTAGCGGGAAAATTAAACTAGAGGGTCAGAGTAACTTTAGCTGTGTATCTGATGTCGCTTCCTTCTCGTTTAAATATTGGATGAGGCTTATCTCTAATTATGAAAGATATATCTGCAGGTATACTGTTAGGAGTTTGATCACCTTCTTTCTGAAATGTAATTTTGGTCCCTGCTTTCCATCCAGGTTTTACATTAATAGTCAGTACTTTTTCTTCTCTTTTTGTGGTCCTACCATCTGGATTCAGAACTTTGCGGCTGATTTTCATTTTCTTTGTACAACCTTTAGCTACATCTTCCAAAGACACATATAAATCATGTTCTAGAGGAGGATCTTGTTGTTTAGGTTTGGCTCTATTTATATTTGGTGAACCAGCAGTGAAGCTTTGGGATCGAAAGGGATTGTTGCCCCTAACTCCAAAATGTGAAGAAAATGGATCATTGTCCACTTCCATATCATTATCATCATAAAACATTGTAGTTCCACCATGGCCACCAAGACCCATTGAAAAGAAAGTCTCAAAGGGGTTATCTGTGCCGAAAAATTGAGCAAATGTGGCTCTAGGATCTCCATGGAAAGTGTATGTGAATTGTTGTCCACCTCCAGTTCCTCCACCACCAATGCCACCTTTCAAACCTTCTTCTCCATACTGATCATATACATCTTTCTTCTTTTTGTCACTCAATACTTCATATGCTTCGGCTATTTCTTTGAATTTTTCTTCAGCTTCCTTAGTCTTGTTTTTATCAGGATGGTACTTCAAAGCAAGTTTTCTGTAGGCTTTTTTTATTTCATCCTCCGTAGCATTCCGACTTATACCCAAAGTTTTGTAGTAATCTTTACCCATTTTTCACCTGTAAAAGATCACACAAATAAGAATACGTTCGATCCTAACAGAAAATTAAACATTTTACATCTGTAAATGATAATACACATAAAAATACGTTCGATCATAACAGAAAATTGAATTTTTTTTACGCACTATAAGTCTAATTTCACAATTCAACTACTTGATTCACTTTCAATAACGGTAAAGTAAACACTACATTTCGCTATAAAAATTATCCGTAATGCTTAAATACACTTTGTGCTTATTTAAAAAACAAATCAGACACAGCAGCTAATAAAAAATATTACTAAAATAACAACTAAATAAAATTCACTTTATCATCACATTCATACACTACGACACTTACTCGCATATGTATTCAAATTTTACTTTCACGTTCTTTAAATTTACAAAAACAATACAAAACAAGGCCAAAAAATACTCTACCTTGCTCACACACAACTTGATGACTAATACCACACGTTTAAACAACACAAACACAAATATGAAACTATCCAAATCTGGTCAACGTCAGAATGAGGAGCTCTAAATAGTCGCAGGTCAATCTACACAATTCGGGAACATTCTAGTACTTTCTACTACGTCATTGACACGCCTATGCGATTGTCGTGCCATCTGTCCGCTTGGCATATAAAGTGCAAAATAAAATTCCATTAATTCATTTTTAATTAAAATTAATTTTGATTAAATACTTTAATTTAAGATTTTAAATAATTATAAAAATGTTGCGTAAATCAGACTTTGGATTATAAACAAATGTAGACAAGCCATGGATGGAGTAACACAAAAGTGTGGCCAAGAAACATGATGCCACAACTTTATAGGTAGAGCTACCTAATCTCTAGTAGCTTTAATTATGGCTACAAAATAAATGGTTAAATACAATTACACTGACTATGAGAGTAAATTTCAGTCTCCGCAGGCTCAGAAAAGTGTCCTTAGGCGTAATTTGCGCCAAAACCCATTTCACTGGCCTTCTAAGTTTCACCATTGTGTTGTTATTACCTTTAATACATCATATAAATTTTATTAAATTTGAAATTCTTGTGATTTTTCTATATACTAAGTAGCAAATCATTTACAGTTTGAACGGAAGAGTTATAAACGTTCCATAATGAATAGCTAACATACAGACAACACCGATTAAAATGTAAACATAATCAACCAGCAGTTCGCTTATGGTAGCGCTACTAGAGATACACTGTATATTCCACTGTACAATATATATATATATATATTGCGATCCTTGCAAAAAATACAATTCTCAGGCCTGTAATGCAACATTTATAAAATCACTTATATGCACTTGTGGCCTGGCTAATCAAATGGAAAATGTAATAAATATCTAAAAGTCATTAGTAATCCCATTTACAAGGAGAAGAAGGAAAAATTAGAATTTACAGCTTTACGGGAATATTTGCTTCCGGGCTAAGGAAGTCCCTTATGTCGAAGTGATCCTTACTAATATTCTCATTTTGATTTCACACATTACATATATTATTTAGAAGTTTCTAGAGTGTAAAGATAGACACTTCTCCTTCATTTCTCGAAATAGTGTTGTTTCTATACAACAACTGATATACAGGCGTATACAGGCAACACTATCGAAAGCAAAATTGACTGTTCGACAAATATGCAGTGCACTTTGGTATATTCGTAGCAATAAAATACATCGAAAATTAAATGTTTTGCAGCTTAGAATTACATTGTTCTAAAAAAAAAAAAAAAAAAAGGAAATAATAAGAAGACTCTAATTACAAATATTTCCTGCATGCCCGGAACTGAGGCATATGCCAAAACTAAAAATAAGATTCCATATCTTTCATTTAAATTCAAATTTATTAATGTTAAATCTGAAAAACAAAACAAAAGCTACAACTCAAAACGAATTCATAGAATACAGATAACGTTGCCACACACACAAATTAATCATTAAAAATCTCTAGAATTAGGGGCGAATCCAACTGCAACGCCCTGCGATTTGCGAAGTTTGGCTGATAAGACATGTAATCCTAGTAAATTCAGGCGTTTTACCTACAATAGGTTGGATTCCTAGCCTGGATTGGCTAAAACGCCGGCGTTTTAGTCAATCCAGGCGCTGGTAAATCCAACCTAAGTCCGTAGAAGAACCTTGGGTAAATTCAACCCAAGGACGTTTAGTCTATTCCACGGAGTTTGGCGTTTTAGTCAATCCAGGCGCTGGTAAATCCAACCTAAGTCCGTAGAAGAACCTTGGGTAAATTCAACCCAAGGACGTTTAGTCTATTCCACAGGAGTTTGGTCTATTCTTACCTCCTTTGATGCAACCTTTTGTTTTATTATTCTAGAGTTTAGATGTAACAGTTTAGGTTGAATTTTTTTTTTCCCCCATTCTCTAGTAGCCATGGAAAGAAATCCTGAAGATCTTTGACTTGTTTACTTGCGTCCAAGGAGGTTAGAATACATGGAGATGCCCTGCGCGCAGTCCAAGTGAAGCCAAAAAGTGGGGGAAAGCATGCCCTTAGTAGTCGTGGCTTTAGAAAGATTGACGAGCTCTTCAGCCAATGAGGTAGAACCTAGCCACACCCAGTTTCGTAAATTAAAGACCGTGGATTCTTCGCGCGCTTTTTCCTTCACTTTTTCCCGCCATTTCATTTTATTTCTACATTTTCTATCATCTTGTAGACGGCTGCAATATTGTTCCGAGAAGCAATTTTTATTCCTGCCAAAATGGTAAATTCCTGCGTCGCTTTCGGCTGTACAAATAGCAGAATAGCAGCATCCGGTATTACATTTCACAGGTAAATATTCTTTTAACATATATACTACATTTATTTAATTATACTTTGCTCAAGTTAGATAAAAGTTTGCTGTGCATGTTTAAAACATATCCAAGGAAACGGCTGCAAGTGCTGATAATTGTATCAATTCTAATGATTATCAGGATATGCAGAGGGGAAAATATATGTACAAAGGGACTGATTCCATTAAAATGAGTTAAATGAGAAATGCATTATGTAATTACATGCTGTCATTAATGAATGCTAGCAATAAAGGTATTGTGAAAATAATAAATAAATACTCAAACCATTAATTGATTATATTTTAGTTATTCTAAATATATACGGTATAATTCTCAATTTTCCATGTTAGAAATACTACTTACGTTTTGAAAAAATATTAAATTGCATGAACAATGATAAAAAATAATATTTAAATTCTGCATTGTTATTTTTAAAACTCCCACAAATTTCACCTCAAATTAAATCCTGTTATTAAATATTTACTTGAACAGAAAATAAAATTAAATACATAAAATATGACTTGTAATATAATATGATCACACCTTTAAAATGACGCATTTTCTTTTCCAGGATGAGCTGACCACTCCCCCTTCCCTTGTTTACTTACCGGTTTGCTTTTACAACTCAGTTAATTACGAGTATAATACTCAAACCATTAATTGAAGAAAAATCTGAGAATTATAGATGTTTCTTCGCGCACGTCACACCAAGAAAATACTCAAACTCTTTTCTGACGGCTTTTCAAACGCACATTTCAATTATTCTACTTATTTATGCATGTTAAAAAAACATTCTTTTATATGGAAATGAAATCCGAAATGTAGACATTATTTCAATGTAACCATTCAGTTACCTTATACCCCTCTCACGTCTTCACATAAGAAATCAGAAAACACACTCAAAACTTCAAACAAGCTACGTTTAACCTCACTTCACATAGTAAGGGAAGCGTTTTCTTGCCCTCACGAGGCGTGGCTTATTTGCTTCCCCCGGCTTCACTCTCCTCGTATTGCGACAGCAGAGACGCCATCTCCATGTATTCTAACCTCCTTGCTTGCGTCACATAGCGGAAAGAATGTGCATTTCATAGAATGTAGGAGAACTATACTCTTTAGTCTCTATGTGTCTCAGATGATGATGCCGTGATGTAAACGTTTTGAACCATAGGACTTTTTAATCATTGGCGTTGGTGATATAAACATGTGGCTATTCATGACGGCTATTGTTTGTGGTTGAAGCTTTTTTGTAATGAGATTATGTTGCTCATATTTGCGTAAATTATTGCCGACATCTTAAAGACCTTTCATAGTGGTTTTCAGCTACGTAAACGGGATGATGTCAGATATTTCAAATGTAGAAACTTTTGTAAACAAACATTTAGTTCTACTGGATCTAGAAAGAACGACCGAGGTCGAAGAAAATAAGTAAGTAGCTTAACAGTATGACAAAACATGTAAATCAGATTATGCAGATTATTTTAATTAATATTTTCCATTTTTGCTTTTTTGAAGATGTCTTCAGGAATGTAATTCTGTCAAAGTTCTGCAGAAGAAGGGGATATGCATTACGAAATTAAGGTTTGGCAGATCATCAACGGGCCTCTTTGGTAGATCATTAATAAATTTCGAACCTGCTTCATCTAATTGTTTCTTACCATCACATTTAATCACTTCTGGTAAAACACATTATTTTCCTAATTTGCTGAGTATTGCTATATAATTTTAATATCTGAATTTATTTTTCTTGGAATCTGTTGAATAAACGATGGATGTTGTTGCCTTGAATTGTGATTTGTTTGTGTAGAAAATGAACTCTATGACATATTATTAACTAATTATTAATATAACATCTTTTTTAACTTTTGGCATGTTAAATAATATGGTACTTAAATATTTTTTTTCCATCCGGAGCTTAAATTGCGTCAGAACCGAGTGGAGCCTGGCTATGGTACTTCTCAATTTTTTAGATTAATCATAATTTAGCCAGAGCGCACTGGAGCTCTAATTAAAACGGCACCAGCATTTATTTTATGTAAGTTAACCACACTTTCAACTAAAAAATCTTATTTTAATAATAAATATACTTAAAAAATCAATTCTAAACTTCTGAATGCAAGCCTGTCCTTCCCTGGGACATAGATTACGAACAGAGTTTGAACCATGAGGAAAGAAAATCTCCCACCGTATATCAAAGGCTTTTTTGCCAGGAAATGCAATGAATTTATGAGAGCGGGTTAATTTTTTGTTCCTAAAAGGGGCTAAAAGGAATGATGACATCCTATAATGTTAAAACAAAGTTACTTATCACTAAAATTTATTTGTAGCCAATCAAAGCTCAATAAGCTGCATTTTAAATCGCACAGTGAAGTTAGCGCGGTTACACGAAACCAAAATAACAAGACAAAGAATTGCACAAACTTGGCATTGCGCACTCCCTTGACTTTGTTCATGTACACATTGATCTATTTTCACTTAAAAAGTTAAAGGAGTAGCCAACAAAAAATTTATAATCTCAGTAAACTACATTTTTAATCAAATAATGAAATAATATATAAAAGGAAATTCAACTTAGTTCTTCACAAAGGAAATATCCATTTACCTTATTTAGAAATTTCCCTGGCTTCAATCACAAAATTCCTCAACAGCATCCAAAAAACTTCCTAAAATCATCTGAACTAGAATCTGCATATTTGCATCTCTACATAAATTAAAAAAAATAAGAGTAAAAAATATCCTCTACGGTGCCGGTATTCTCCGACGTTCGACCATATATGCATTTGCTTCATACAAACAGGACACTTATAATGGCTTATAACCTAAACCTACATTTACACACCAGTCAATTAATAATTTTTTCCCTTTCATTCAAATTCATACAATAATCTTGCCACATTCAGCCATTTTACTGTGTAAACCACAAAATAACAACATACTTCCTAACCAACACATAAACAAGCTTTTCCAAATCTTTTCCCATCATTCAAATTTACCGCAATCAATTACATCATATTGGGGTTGTCGTATCATTCAACTACTTATGTTATCACAAATGAAACAACAACTTGGTGATAATCCAAGGGGCACCCTTAAATATACTCCAATTCCCCAAATTTTATTTCACATTTCTGCTCTGTTTTTTAATCCTTCCCCTTAGGCTTGTAGTATAGTGTACAAGTATTATACATACAGTACAAAGTCATCGGGACTTCGCCTATTCCGGGTTTGGGATTTTTCCAGATATTAGATCATCAGTTGAAATCTAGTAAGATGGCATATAGAAATTACAAAATTAAAAATATGAAATCGCAATTTTTGAAATTACAAACTATTTATGATCTAAAGGGTATCAAAATTTACCAAAAAAAAAAAAAATCTTAATATTTATTTGTTTACCTTATTAAACATTTCAATGTAAGTTGCTTCATTTTTTGTGCTAATACTTTCTCTTTAATTCTGTAGACAGACATAATCTCTTGTTTAGTTACAGTGTTGAAGTCCTGTAACTGCTGTTCGAGAATTCTGACTAACTTGTCAATCGAAATTTTCTCGTTTTCAGTAACTTCTCTGTTACTTTCTTCACTATCAGTAGTATTATTTTCTGGATCTAGCACCATTCTACAGATTTCGCCATGGACGTCCGGATTTCAGACTTTGTACTGTATTGGACAAATCATCTTTAAGAGTTGTATTATGGAGGGGAGTATGGTGGATCAATAGTAAAGGAATGTAATTTAAGAAATATTCAAATAATTGCAGAATGTCCATGCAAGAAATTATATTTTTAAAATTTTGAAATTTATCATAATACTTCAATTTATTCTCAGTTGCTAACAGTATAAAAGACGTTGTTAAAAACTGGATAAAAATACATGAAAGGTTTTCCAAAAATTTTCCCTGATGTGGTAGTTCAATAAATCAAAGTATTTTTGCATTACAATTGGTTTTACATTATCAGTAACAGCAATAATAAAAAATCCATACAACAAACCTAGTTCTTAATATATAAACAGATTTCGGAATGGTTAGAGAAACAAAGGATATGCCTTTATCCATTTTTTGCAGCAATTCCACTTTTTGTTTGATGGACATCGAAACATACTTTTGCTTTGTAGATCCTTTGGGAGCTCCAGCATCGGAAATTCTATTTGACATAATCGAAAGTTCAAGCTTACTTTTATAAAATTGCTCTAACAGTCTGCAAAAAATAATAAGCCGGATCCAATTCGAAGATTAAGGAACAACGCAATCTGCAACATTAACTGAAATAGATAGTTTTAGCTTATACCGTCCGTTATACATTAAACGTGCATGCGTAAGCGTATTATGCGCATACGCACAAGCATATGCGCAGCCGTAAAGAGGTCTTGCATGCATGCATAAACGCCTATGCGCAGAAAGTTTGTAGCTTTGAGGTCTGGATTATGCGAGTCCAAATTAACGACTTTTGACTGTAATAACTGTGCCAATTAAAAAATATCAGTTGTTTGATCTATTTGAATTGCAAACTTTGGTAAGCTGCGCAATTGTTCATTACAAATTTAATAAATTCTTCTGGAAATAGTATCATTTGATAAACGGATATTGCAAATTTCATGTTATATATTTTTTTTTTTTTCCTGTGAACTATTTCCAAGTTTTTGTTCTGAGCTAGGAATATAAGATCTTTCCTGTTCATGTAATTCTTTTTTTTCCAATTAAATAAAACGTTTCATAAGAAGCAAATAAATATTTTTCATTGTAAGCAACAACTTTCTTAAAATACTGTTTTTATGTTTGAGGATTTTAGAAGAAATATTTCTTATTAGAAAACTGTTGTACATTTGAATTATCGTAACTTGTTACACACACATCGTGTATTTTAATGTATGAAATAGCCGATACAAGTTCTTGCTTCTTCCTTTCCTTCTGATCATCAAAACGAACGTGTTATAAGAAACTACAGCATGATTTCGAAAGTCTAGGTAGTAATCAGATTGTGTGAGTTTGTAAGTAAACGTAAAAAATTTTTTTATTTTTAAAGCCATGATTTGTTTAAAACAAAATGTAAAACTTAATTACAATTTTCTTTAAATTAATTGTACAATACAGAATTTACAAGAATTACAAGCTAGTAAGATGTAATATTTCTTTGAATGAGTAAGAATTTCAAGTAAGGACAAACAACTTGAATTCCAAGCAAAGGTTGTAACAAATGACATAAGTAAAAAAATAGAAAGCAAAAATATTCCCACTTTTCCCAATAAAAGAAACAGATAATAGATATGATTATTTCTGGACAGAACATTTTAACAAACAGATGACACACTGAGTGGTTCTCAACTTATTTTTCCCTGTGCACATCTTTCACTATTGCTGGAAAATCATTTCCTTCCTCCCTTTCTGATATTCAAAAAGTGCATATACACTGATGAGCCAAAACATTATGACCATCCTCACTTTTTTCAATGAACTTGTCTGGATGACATGGAGGGCATGCAATTAAGTGGGAATATTATTTAACTGCTGCTGGAGAAGGTAAGGAATCATACTTGCACTTACTTTTGCGAGTGATGGGAAAAGCTGCTGATCAGTTGCAGTTGCCAAGTTGTCAGAAGTTCTCTTTCATTAGCTTAAACTTGACGATATGTGTGATTAGAATTGGTTTTGAAGCTTTTTTGTTCATTGTATATCCACAGTTTTTCAGATTTGCTAAAATATCTGCAATTACCAAATTTATTTACACTGCCTTGTATGAGGTGATAGTTCACACCTGAAGATCTGTTCTAAAGCATAGTTTCTAAAGGAGCAAAGTTCATAGTAAAAAAAATAATTTTGTGTATCATTATTGCAAAGGTAAGGGGTGCCGCAAAAAAAAGAAAGTCTCAAAAAATGGACAGTAAAAGTCAAGAGGTAAAGTGACAAATAATGGTCTGCAATGTTATAGTTATTCTATCAGGACCTTAATCAATAGGACAACTAACTGTTCTCATTTTAAAAAGTGCTTCCAGATTCTTGAGATCATGCTTTGGGAAGTATCAGCGTTTTGGCAATATCCAAGAATCTGCCTCGAGAACCCATCTTTTACCAATTCTGACCCTTATCAAATGATATCTTTAAAGGGACATGTTTAACCAATCAGAGCACTTTATGCTTGCAGTTTTACAGCTGTTGATGACACTGATTGGCGATAGATTTTACATGCCAGCAAAAACGTTTTGTTGTAGTTAGGATAGCAATTGTATTTTATTACTGATGAGATAGAATTTACTAAGAGTATCAAAAAGTAGAATATAATTACAAATCATATCAGAAGGAAAGATTATTGACAATCAATAATTTATCAATAATCTAATGCAGGAGTTCCCAATCCTATGCCCTTGGGCAGAATGGTGCCCGCCGATAGTTTGTGTGCCTGCCACTGTGCAATCAGAATAAAAATATTTTAGTTTTCAATAAAATTCCATGTGAAAGTTTTCTTATTTTTAATGAAATAGAAATTGCGTTTAACACAGATACCAGTATATAGTTTTCAATAAAGTTCTATGTGAAATTTTCTCATTTTTAATAAAATAGAAATTGCATCCAACACAGATACCAGCACAAAGTGAAATGCAACCAATTTCTTTTTATGTGCGTCCAACTATAAATTTAGCTTTGTCATATGGTTGTAATAACTAATTTGTATTATAATGCCTAAGTTGGTAACTGTTTGTTATTTTTTGGCAAATTTTGGCTTTTTCTCTGTTAACATGGAGTACTTATATAGCAGCATATTATGGCTACTGTTCTACTGTTTTTCAGTTGGTACAATATCGTATTGTAAAATAATGCTTTCTTGGAGACAGATTTTCACATTTGAAGCTCTGTTATTCTGTCAAAGAAAACTAATGCAAATTAGACTTGATAACTTTTTTGAAGAAAACAAAACATGAAAGGTTGCTGGAAATTCTTAGAAGTATGTAACCATTGGTCCAAAACAATCAGTCGAATATACTAAGATTTCCAGGGAAAGGATTAATAGTATAAGTACTGTGGACACATATTTTCTAAAGTTTCATATTAAAATTTAAAAAAATAGTACATCATCACTCTATCATTTCATTTAATTTTTAAGTGTTTTTGTATATATTCAGTTCTGAGTAATACTATTATTCCTGCTGTAATGAGTTCTGGTAATATCTCTTTGAAATGAGGATCAGTGAATTCGTCTTCTTGATGCAAATGAGTTAAATGTTGCAACTTGTGTAAGTCGCATCTTTTTAGCTGGATCTACTATATTTTGTGATAGTATATTTAAAAAGACTTTTAATGTTCATTTAGTTGATTGAAATGTATTTTATGGCATTCATTTATATACCTGACTAAATTATATCCCTTTTTAATGTTAGTTGTTTCCTTTAGGTGATATTGTTGGTGTAGGAAAAGTAAATTCAGATGGAAGACTTGAAATTATAGTCTCGGGAGTTGTTACTCGTGTAAATGATTCTTTTTTAACTGTAGCTTTTGAAAAAAATTCTGATTCATCGGATTTGGAGAGTGATGTCCATTATACAATCATAAAATTAGCTAATGATGTCACATATAAGCGTTTAAAGAGGTAAGTGTTTGCTTTCTTATTTTTTCATTTTAATGATTTTGTTTGCTTTTGCCTGAATATATTTATAAATAATATTTGTCACTTACTCACTTTTATTATGACCCTTGTTATTTAAACCGCACAACGATTATCAGTAAATCATGAATGTATGTTGCAAACCGACTGCAGTCCTAGCCACGGTCACACATAACAGTATTTCTTTATTATTACAGTCTCTTTATTTCATGGCCATTTTGTATTTGAATACAAATTAAAATACCTGTTTTTTGGGAAAATGATGCATACATTCTGATCATATACAATCCCCTGAAAATTATTCACAAGGCAATGGGATATGTCACCCAAATCTATTTTATGTGGCAACCTAGATATATGCGTGTTCACAGCAGATGAGTGCCAATTTCCATCAAAAACCATATTTCCAACTTCAAGTTTAACAGTCATTAGTTTTTATTTTATTTTATTTTATTTATTTTATTATTATTATTATTATTATTATTTTTTTTTTTTTTTTTTTTTTTTTTTTGTGTGGTGTGTGTGTGCATATATGTCAGTGAATTTGGTACTTACTTGTTAATGGAGAAGAAATGGCTAACTTTTGTGAAAATTTGATACGATTAGTTTTTCTTTATTTCTTTTGTTTTTACAGGTGACCCAGAATAAGAATAAATTGGTTGTTCTTTTTTTTTTTTTTTTTTTTTTGTCAAAAGGAGCTTTGTCCATGAAGGACTATTGTTTTTGTTTTGTGATTTTGTATCGGAACCCTATAAATGGCGTATCACTTTTCAAATCGGTGCCACTAAGTACTATCGCTCTGTATTATAGTTGAAGAAATTAAATAATGAAGAATCTGCATAAATGTATGGTATGTTTCTCGCATTGTGTTAAAACTACAGTACCTAGAGCCATCCAATTTTGAATGACGTAATCCTACTGCGAATATGGGCATCTGAAAGGTCAAGTTTGAAATTTGGAATTTGTTTTATGATCGATTTCATATTTTGTAAAACTTTAACGAATTTTTGATTAACAAACTCAAGGATTGTATATTTTTTGTTCTTGGAAGGAATTTTAACGAGACTGTGGAGTTTGTTGGCTGATGGAAAAGACAGCATTACATTTCTTCAGAAGAATGGTATTTTGACTAAGGCCCCGTTCAGACGAGGGCGTAAAGGGCATAAGGGGTTAAAGCCGAGCTCCGTTGCCAAGGCAACCAGTCACTGCTACGTCACAGAATCTGGTTTAGGGCTCGTGGCATAGGGTTCAAAGTTTTTAACTTTACGCCGCGTTTGGGATAAGCGTCGACCAATCGGAGCGAAGCTAAAATGAAGTGACTTTCTTTAGACAATTTCGCTGTCACATCGAAGGCGAAGTTTTTTTTAATATGGAACACATCGTATCCGAATGAGTTGTAATCGTATCCGAACGGAATAATGAGTTGTAATCGTATCCGAACGAAATAAAGAGTTGATCTCGCAAGAAATCTACGATGATGACATGCATTTTTAATGAGTTTTTAATGCATTTTTTAATGAGTTTTTCAATTTATATTGAAATATATGGATGAAACTCGTAAAGCGAAAGTTAAGCTCAGGATTATGCAAGCTGTGTATGATCCTGTAGATGATTTTCATTTTATTGTGAAAATTCTTTAAAAAATGCATGATTGCAAAAATTTTATTTTTTCTGTGGAAATTATTATTATTAATTTCTTTCTGTCTAGAATTTTTTTTAAAAATATTACTATATAATTTTTTCCTGTTTAATTATTTTTGTATTTAAGAATAAATTTATTGAAAAAGCTGGAAATGTTGTATTGCTATTTGCTTCAAATGCTGATTTTCTTTCCAAACAAACTTCATGAATTAATTTTACTAAAACCATCAAGTGAATATCAAGAATCTGCTGTTTCTTTTTAAACAGTAAAAATATTACTTAAAAAAAAAAAAAAAAAAATATTTTCATTTATTTAAGAATAGTCACAATAGTCAATTAAATGGTGTAAGCTTTGTATAAGTAATAAAAAAAAAGTCTTTTGAGAAAATGCTCTTATGAATGTCCAAGAAGGAAAAAATGTAGTGAAATATCCTTAAAACAAGTCAGAGTCTAGACAGTTTTGTCTCCTGTTGAAGTTCTGTTCTGTTTTTTAATTACGTTCTTCCATGAAAGGAAGTTTACTTTTAATGAAACTGAATAGCCACACATAATTCATAAACATGGGCTATAATTTAATGAATAGTATTTGTTAGTATTATCCACTCTTTATTAATATCATCTGAATGGAATTTTGATCATTAAATTCATGCTATTTCTCTGGTAGAAATTCCTGGATAAGGTATGAATGTTTATAATTTTGATGTATTTGAAGACTTGGGTACTTAAAATTTGTCAATGTGAAATTACTTTTGAGATTTGGTCGTAAATAGAAATGACAGCATATGTTGAAATTAAATTCAGGGGTGCGGTTTATACATGCAAATTATTAGAAATAAGTGTATACAAACAGCTGGCAACACAGCAAAATGTATTTAATGATTGAGCATAAAATACATTGTTGGGTGAACGTTTCCTGGTATTATACTAGTTGTAGTTGCTGGTCATTATGACCAGTTGTGGGATACTAGTACTAGATAATTAATACTGGTAGTGCAGCGAACTACTATAGTGATCGAAAGGGACAGTGAATAAGGAGTGCTAAGCACACATGTTTCACTGTTATAGAAACATGTTCCTTTTGATTGAAAATTTAAATAATAATAATAATAATGTATGATAAGTACTGTTTTTAGCTTAACTGCTTTCATACCTGAAAAATGGAAATATATTATGTACAGGCTATCTGTTAGTTATCCTTTCTTATAAATCTTTCAAAAAAATATCTCTCGACCATTTCGTTCTTTTTCGTTTTTTACCATCTTTCGTTGCCTCTTGGCTAATGAGAAGAGCAGATAAAAGATCATTCTGTTGAGCCAGTAAAGCTTTGTCGCGAGCTGAAAAAGCCATGACACAATGAAAAAAACAAGCAGAACGAATGCGGGAAATCAATCGAGCGGGAGAATAGCGCGGGAAAGTTGTAGACATTCCACGCATGCGCAAATTTAGCTTCTCTCATTGGCCACGACTTACGCCTCGTTCTCGCAGTTGTGCCCTTATGACTATGCCTCTATGCGCTTTACGCCCACGTCTGAACGCACCTTAACAGTCAAAAAACAGAGGTTATAAAAATTCACAATTTATGAAGATGTGTTTTGTAAATGATGGAATTTTATGGATCAAAATTTATATGCTTATACCAGATTTGTGCAATTCTGTGGTGAATGCTATGTATAAATCTGATACATATCCTAAGTTGTGCTTTCGGGATATGAAAAACGCAAGTTGAATTTTGTCAATCCGCCCTGTAAAAGAGGAGATACAAAACTGTCCCCCCTCCTTTCTTTTTTTTTCCCCACAGTAAATCTTATGTAAGTATTTTTTCCTTTTTTTAATACAGTCAAAAGTCATTAATCCGGACTCGTCGGGACTTCGGCGATTCCGGATTATCGATTTTTCCGGATTATAGATAATCAGTTTAAATCGCGTAAGATGGCATGCAGAAATTCTAAAATTAAAAATGTAAAACCGTTAATTTATGACATAAAGAGCAAGAATTTAATTGATCTAAAGGGTATCAAAAATTTACAAAAAAAAGCTTAATATTTATTTGTTTACTTTATTAAACATTTCTTTCAATGTAAGTTGTTTAAGTTGCTTCATTTTATGTGATAATACTTTCTCTTTAATTCTATAAACAGACATAGTTTTTTGTTCAGTTACAAAGTTCCGCTGTTCAAGTCCCGTTAAATGCTGTGCCGAGAATACCGACTAACTTGTCAATCGAAATTTTTCGTTTTCACTAACCTCTCTGTCACGTTCTTCATGTCTTTATCCATTTTTTGCAGCAATTCCACTTTTTTGTTTGATGGACATCGAAACATACTTTCGTTTTGTACGATCTTTTGGAAGCTCCAGATTCGGAAATTCTATTTGACATAATCGAAAGTTCAAGTTTACTTTTATAGTATTGCTCTTTCAGTCTGCAAAAAATAATAAGCCAGATCCAATTCGAAAATTAAGGAACAACGCAATCATCAACATTAACTGATTAGATAATTTTACCTTATACCGTTCGTTATACATAAAACGCGCATGCGAAAACGTATTCTGCGCTTGCGCACACACAAATGCGCAGTCATAAGAGGTCTTACGCACTGCGTAAAACGCTATGTGCATGTGTAACGCGGCATGCGCAGAAAGTTTTTAAGCTTTGAGGTCCGGATTATAGATCATTCTGGATTATGGGTGTCCGAATTAACGACTTTTGACTGTATTTTGAATTTTGTCAATGCATAGCATAATGGTATAACAAATTAACAATTTTTGCTTCTTGAATAATTTTTATTTAATTTAAAACTAACAGTTAAAGTTAACATTATTGTTAAGTTTATTTAAAACTTAACAATTTATTTAACTCATATTTTTCAAAGTATTTATACATTAACTTATTTTCTAAGTGTGCTGATCAGTATGGTGGTTAGGAGTGCTAGCTGTTGTAGCACTGGGCATGGGTTCAACTCTCGGAAAAAGACATGTTTGTAAATATATAGTTTTTGTGACATAGAATAATTTAAAATACTATTGAGTAAAAAGACTCCTTGAGAGATTTTGGAGAAAAAGGTAGAAGACCCTTGAATCTGTTTCCCAGAACATTTTTATCAAAATTGGGATGGAGCTTGGCAATGTCTACTGTCACTTACAAAGCACCCAAGGCCTTGCTAATGACAGACAATACCAATTATTTCTTGGCCATGATAAAAGTAATTAGTGGATCTGACCTGGCTTAAGTTCAGATCAGGAGGATTAGTAACAACAACATATAGATAATTTTAGTTATGTACATTTGCCACCCAACTGAGATAATGGTTAGAGACTCTGACTGCTATACCAAAGGATCTGGGTTTGAATCTTGGAGAAGGCATGGATGTTTGTAAGTGCATAGTGACTGCATGGCATGAGGGCACTCTAAATATCAGTTAAGCCAACATTCCTCTCGAGAGGTTGGTTGTAGCGCAAGAGGGATGGAAGACCCTCGGCCCTGTACCGCCAGAGTGCTGTCCTTCAAAATTGGGGGCAGAACAGAGAACTATAACAATTCTCTGGCTTCAGCTATATACCACCTACTGTCTGTATGATGCCCAAGGCTCTTGCCAATAAATGGCACAATCTTGCCTCCCTGCCATGATGAATTTCGTGAGCTTGCTCTGGTATCAGACAGGCGATATTAGTCACAATAACAACATAATAGGTTACAAAATGCAATAGATGCTATTTAATGGAATCACCTTTATCCATGACTATTTTGATAACATTAAGTGATGAAAAAATATTTTTCAAGATATCAGTGGAATTTAACAAATTTAATACTATATATATAACTAGAAACACATAAATATTCACTTTGATTACATTTTAATTTGATAAAAAGTCATTATCATTATTAGAGAAGTTAAAGCAGTAAGCTACTTTCGAAGGTTTAAATATAAAACCTTCTTCTTCAGCTGCGGAAGTGCTAAATGTCTTAACTCAAAAGTGATTAATAGTTGACTGTCTGGAATTCTTACACAAAAGTTCATTTTTAGAACTGTTCATAAGGCTTCTGAAAATTATTTGACCAATGCTTACGCCTAATCTTAATACTCATAGAGCACCCCTCATCTCAACATTTGTAAGAAATTCACTGGCTTCATCATCTTCTTCAGAAAGTTTGTCTATTGGATTTGTTTCAGAAAGCAAAAGGGCATGTATCTTCTGTCATCTTTTCTGTGAAATGTTAAATTCTCACAATTCATGCCAGTTTGAGACATTTTTAGTTCTTCATCTTCTTTTATTTTATTGTTTGTTAAAAGTTTGATAAAAATAGTTCTTATTTTTTATCTTTCTTCATCACTTATTATATTTTATGAGGTATTATTCCAATAATTAAATGTTGTCTTAAATCAAAATCAAGATGCTTGGCAACTTGTTTACATAGCTCTGTCATTTGCTCTATTTTGAACTTATTTGGTAAATTTATCTTTTATTTGGTGACATTATTTCATTTAAAAAATTCATCTTATAATATTTTGATAACAGTAACCAACTTTTTTATCACAATAAGCGAGGTATTTTCCATATTTTTATACAGTCAAAAGTCGTTAATTCGGACACCCATAACCCGGAATGATCTATAATCCGGACTTCAAAGCTAAAACCTTCCTGCGCATGCGCCACGTTGACACATGCGCATAGGCGTTTACGAGTGCGCGTAAGACCTTTATGACTGCGCATATGTGTGTGCGCAAGCGCAGAATACGTTTTCGCGTGCGCGTTTTATGTATAACAGACGGTATATGCTAAAATTATCTATTTCAGTTAATGTTGATGATTGCGTTGTTCCTTAATCTTCGAATTATTTCCGGCTTATTATTTTTTGCAGACTGTAGGAGCAATTTTATAAAAGTAAACTTGAAATTTCGATTATGACAAATAGAATTTCCGATACTGGAGCTCCCAAAGGATCTACAAAACGAAAGTATGTTCCGATGTCCATCAAACAAAAAGTGGAATTGCATCAAAAAGTGGATAAAGACATGAAGAAGGTGACAGAGAGGTTAGTGAAAACGAAAAAATTTCGATTGACAATCGGCACAGCAATTACGGGACTTAAATAGCGGAACTTTGTAACTGAACAAGAAATTATGTCTGTTAATAGAATTAAAGAGAAAGTATTATCTCATAAAACGAAGCAACTTACACAACTTACATTGAAAGAAATGTTTAATAAAGTAAACAAATAAATATTAAGCTTTTTTTTTTTTTTCTAAATTTTGATACCTTTTAGATCATAATTGTTCTTTATTTCATAAATTACGGTTTCATATTTTTAATTTTGTAATTTCTGCATGCCATCTTACCAGATTTAAACTGATGATCTATAATCCGGAAAAATCGATAATCCGGAATCGCCGAAGTCCCGGCGAGTCCGGATTAACGACTTTTGACTGTATACAGTTGGGTGGGGCTTCGCCATTTCGATAGCATTATCCAAATGATAACATTAACCATGATAACATTGTAGTGCTGTCTGCTATCAACAACAAGTTTGCAAGATTTTAAATATTTTATCTGGACTTCTAAATTAATTTGAGTATTCCATTTAATTGAGACAGGTCAGAATAAAATTTGATAATTGATTTTAAAATATAATTTTTATTGATAATAGATTTCTATTTTATCATCTATTATTAAGTAGTATGTATTTTGCCTTTAGAGCACTGAAGACGTTAGAAAATAAAGGAAGAGAATCTCATCTAGTAAATGTTCTCTTTGGTCAGGCTAGTCCATCAGTATGTGATTCATCAACATTTAATGGTAAGAATGATAAAATCATCAGTAGTAAATAATAGTTAAATAATCTTAGGAAAGGAGTGATTCTGGAAATTATTTTTATTTAATGAAAGAATTTGAAGTTATTCATAGTATTTTAAAAATTGCAGAATATAATCAAACCTCCAACTGCTCATATTTTCAAATAGATTGGTCTTCATAAAGATCATAATTATTCCGTGCCTTTCACATATTGAGCTGTATTTGTCTAAGAATTTTTTAAAATCTCGTCATCAATATTGATAAATACTCTCTTTATAGTAAATATATGATACAGTACAAAGTCCGAAATCTGGACTCGTTGAGACTTTAGCGATTCCAAATTTGGGAGTTTTCCGGATAATAGATCAGCAGTTGAAATCTAGTAAAATGGCATGTAAAAGTTAAATTAAAAATATGAAATCGTGATTTTTGAAATAATGAAGTATTTATGATCTAAAGGGTATCAAAATTTACAAAAGAAAGTTTAATATTTATTTTTTTACCTTATTAAACATTTCTTTCAATGTAAGTTGTTTTAAGTTACTTTGTTTTTTTGTGATAATACTTTCTCTTTAATTCTGTAGACAGAGATAATCTCTTGTTTAGTTACATTGCTGAAGTCCTGCAATTGCAGTTTCAAGAATTCCGATTAATTTGTCAATCGAAATTTTCTTGTTTTCAGTAACTTCTCTGTCACTTTCTTCACTATTGGTAGTGGTATTTTCTTTATCTAGACCAGATTGCAGATTTTCCATATTCATGTTATAAGAACTTCTTTTATATCATCTTCATTTATTACCGCTTTTCTACATTTTTTTACAAAATCCGTTAATTGGAAAATTTCACTTTTGTTTTGCGATATCCGAAAACCTTTAAATTAGCGGCTGTCGTCATCAAATTCAGCTATCCTTAACTAAATATACAAATTCCAGCTTTTAATTTCCAGGACTCGTGGAATAATTGTATTTGGCTATGCATTATGAGCTTGGCAACTAACAAATTGTTTCTTTAAATTTATCTTGCTTCTATCGTGCACTGAGACAATTAAACCTGAATTGTATTATTTTCTGAATAAATAAATTCCCACATATACTGAAGCCTTATTGAGAGCCGGCGCTAGATATCTTACCACGTGATGCAGTTTCTGTGGGTCCAAAATTCTGCGACTTGGTGTGGCAACATGAGCCCTGGCACTGGTTCTGGGTTTATGTGAAAAACAAATTAGTTATTCTTAATTCAAATAGCCCAAAATGTAATCTTTGGGTCTATGAGTATCATCAACAAAATCTATTTTTAGCACATGGAAAGAAATTTTTGGTAAATTTTTCTTTGTCAACATTTTTAGCACATTTAACTTAAATCTGCCAAGCGTAATGTCAACATAAAAGGTTACCATACTCCTTTATTCTTCAATTACTAACATAAAAAATTGTATAGGCATCGCTACATGAGTTATTAAAGGAAATTATAACAAATAATGATTTGCTAGGTTGGCATCAGATCAACGATGTATCTATGTGGAATGTTTCGATTTCAGATGTGTGCTGAAGCAGATACGCAGATATGGAGCCTAATTATTGATCGTAAAAATTTATACTAAAATGATTGTTTCTTCAATAACTAGGTATTTTATTTAGTGTCGAAGTGAAATTAAGAATTGGAACTCTCCAGATGTTTTATTATGCGCAGAAGGGGGGATCAAATGCGCGTGTGTAAAAAATAACGTTTTTGGTGGTTTTGAGGTCCAGATTTTAGATCATTCCCGATAATGGATGTTTGGACTTTGTACTGTATTGATATTTTATGATTTGTACTGTATTGATATTTTATGATTTGTTTATAATAAGCATATTCCAACCAACTCAAAAGTAAACTGTTCATTCCTTTATATGGTTGAAAATTTTTCTTTTCTGTTAACAATTTTGTTAATTTTTTCCCCCCTATTACTTCTTTTCTTTTTAGTCCAAAGAGGCAATTTGTCCAGAAGAACTATTAATTTCATTTTGGAATTTTGCATTGATTCACTACAAGCATTGTTTTACTTTTCAAATTGTTGCCACCAAATATTATCGCCCTGTATTATGATAAAATATTAAATAATGAAGAATCTGCATAAATGTATGTATGTTTCTCATATTGTGATAAAAGATAACCTAGAGCCACTGAATTTTAAATACCCATAATATTCCTACAAATATGTGCATCTGGAAGCCCAAATTTGAAATTTGGAATTTGTTTTATTATCGAATTCATATTTTATAAAACTGTAATGAATGTTTGTTTAAGAAGCTCAAGGATTTCAAAACGAGCAATGGCAGTGTTGTAAAGAAAAATCATTTTTATCTCTAATGCATGAGACTGTGTATCGGAAATTCTAAAGATATGCTCATTTTAAAATTATTTTGTGAAAGTGCAAAGATATTTAATAAATAAAGGTAACACACAAAATGTTTAAAAAAAAAAGTTCCTTTGGATGTAATTTAAAATCTGAAACCTTTCAGATTTTAATGTTTTTATATTTCTAATTTTTTTCTTTTTTGATCTGTGTTTTATTACACTTGTGCTCATTTATTAACTTCCTCTATTATCAAATACTAGCAACATCCTCAATAACTTTTGATCATGTTAATAACATTTCTAAACTTTGAAGATAAGATACCTTAATCTTATATTGATGAAATATCATAACCATCAGTTGTTGATTATGGCTTAATGAAATTTTAAATAAACATATATGTACACTGCGGAAAAAAAAAGGGGTACAGTTCTATATCTCCTGTTGTATTGGGCCGATTGACAAAATCTAAATTGTGTTTTTCATGTATCGAAAGGGGGTATTAGATTTATATATTGCATTGTTCTAATATAGGTATTTTGACACAAAATCGGACTTTTTCTGAAATGACATGCCAATTTTTTTCCATTTTTCGATTTTGCAACTCAAATCGAAATATTAAATTTTGTAAAATTTGGTGCAAAATTTACAGAGAAATTTTAAAAAATTATTTTGGTTCTTTTTTTTTTTTTTTTTTTTTTTTTTTCCAGTTTGCGCCAAGAATAACTGACTTGGCTAACTTCTTAATTATATTACAGCCTATCTTACTTTCTCTTTTTACATTGTGCATGATCGGAAAAAAAAATCACATCGTTCCTACTTTCAAATAATTTAACAAAGTGCCTAAACCACATTTGATGTTATTATCACTTTCACCAAATATGCCAAATTTCAACACGCGTCAAGATATAAATTCATGTATTATCTTCGGAAATTTTGAATAAAAAACTTTAATTTTTTGCAGCATGCTTAGAAATACATCTACTTTAAGATGATGGTAAAAATTTTATAGATTATAATTCAGAATTTTTTTCGGAAAATTTATAAAAATTATTCAAAAATAAATAATACAAATAGGTGAATTTTATTTGGAATAAACCAAAATTTCCAAAATGTGAAATTAAGAATCAAATAAGTTTAATTAAAAAAAGAGATTAATAAATCTATACCGAATTCAATTAACATTGAGGAACTAAAATTTTGAGAGCTAATTTTTTTTAAAACCATTTGTGCGATTTTTTACAAAAATTGGCAGTTTCGCATAATTTGAATCGTAGAATCGAAGTATGAAAATAAAATTGGCATGTAATTTCAGAAAAAATCCGATTTTGTGTCAAAATACCTACATTAGAGCAATGTTATATATAAATCTAATACATATCCTAAGTTGCTCTTTCGAGACATGAAAAAACAAATTGAATTTCGTCATTCAGCCCAATAGAATGGGACATATGGAACTGTCGCCTCCCCACGTTTTTAGTCCAAAGGGGCTTTGTCCCTGAAGGACTATTGTTTTCGTTTTGCGACGAATTACTATAAATGACATATCACTTATCAAATTGTTGTCACCAAATGTTAGAGTCCTGCATTATTTTTTAAAAATTAAATAATGAACAATCTGCATAAGTGCGTGTATTTTTCTCGCATTATGATAAAACTACGGTACCTAGAGCCATCCAATTTTGAATGACGTAATCCTACTGCGAACATGGGCATCTGAAAGCTCAAATTTGAAATTTGGAATTTGTTTTATTATTGATTTCATATTTCATAAAACTAACGAATTTTTGATTAACAAACTCAACGATTTAAAAGCGAGCAATGGCAACACTCTATGGGGGGGGGACCTTTTTATCTCCACCGCGCAGAACTGTGTATTGGAAATTCTAAAGATATGCTCATTTTAAAATTATTTTGAGACATTGCTACTGAACTGAATTTTATGGTTTAAGTGCAAAGAACGTGATATTTAATAAATAAAGGTAACACAGAAAATGGTTTAAAAAAAAAAAAAAAAAAAAAAAAGCCTTCTTCAGACGTAATTTAAAATATGAAACTTTTTTTTTTTTTTTTTTCTGAGTACATATATTGAGCTGAGAAATAAATGGAATTGATTGCAGCAAAAATTATTGACAACAGCTCAACAGCTTTATGAAAGTTTAAATAAAAATCCACATGCATACATATAAGGCTAGATCAAATGAAAACGGAAGAGTAGCTAAATGAAAAGATATAGTTTGTTTTAAAATGTAATCACCAAAATCACATAAGCACTTGTCCCACTTTTGTGCAAAACAGTGAATAGCTTGTTTGTAGAAAGAATTTGGCTGAGATTGAGACTTGTTTTGAACTGTGTCCATGATTTCACTGTCCAAGTGAAAACGTCAACTTCGCAATGCATTTTGTAGAAAACCAAAGATGTGAAAGGTCAGATATGTATGGTGAGTATTCGAGCACACTATACTGAAAGCATGCAAGCATGTTCAATCTGTGGGTGACCATATGTGATCATGCATTGTCAGGGAGCAAAAGCATTCCAGAAGACGCAGCTTGGCTTTGATTTCCACACGTAAATGTTCCAAGGTAGTGCAGTACTGAGCAACATTGATTGTTTGACCTGGGGCCGGGGCCAGGAACTCAATGGGACAGGGTTCGTAACGGTCCTTAT